AAATCAAACCTAGCATCCACCCTTATATTTAGTGAAAAATGTACCTTATGCTACCAGAGCTATACCACTGTTTATAGCAAACCTAAATACAACAATTTGCAATGTGGAAACATGAATTGAGCAATAATTGTACATCGTTGTGTCCATGACAACGTCCAGTAGTAAATTCAAAGAAACAACAATGGAAATCCCTCGGAAGAAAAAAGTCGGGTCTCATTGTGCGGGATATTTCCCGCACAACTCCGTAACTGCGACACCTGGATCCTTGACCGAGACACGTCGTCAACGCAGTCGACGACTCATCGAAAACCCGGGGTCGGCACCCTCAGGAATGTGCACCTTCCTCGGAGCATCCTTCGATCTTTCCCAGGCGGCGGGGCACCTTCGCTGCTTACACCGACACGCTCTTGCCCACACACGCGTGCACACCTCCCTTGCGCCCACACCACCCCCCGGAACCGGTACATAATCCCAGCGCCTTGCACTGCACTTCCATCCTTCTCATTCAGCTTCTGCGGATTACAGTTCCACTTCAGTTTCGTCGCAGGATCAAAGACAAGCTCCTGCATCGGAGCAAGGCGAATTCAGCCCAGGGATTGGGTGATTGCATCGGAGTTCGACAAGTGAGCGGACTTACAGTGAGGGAAGTTAGAGTAGGCGGTGGTGCACAGGAATCAGTGTTGTGAGGATGGGGTCTCAGCAGCAGCAGCAGCGGGAGTTGGAAGTGACGGTGCTATCGGCGCAAGACTTGAAGAACGTGAAGTTGACGGGGGGCACCATGGACCCTTACTGCGTGGCGTGGATCTACCCCCACACGAAGGTTGCCGGGCCCGTGAACAAGGGCGGGGGCGTGAACCCCACATGGAATGCTCTGGTGAGACTGGTGGTGGAGGAGACACTCCTGGAGCAGGGCAGCGCCAACATCACCGTGGAGATTTACCACCACAGCAAGCTGTCGAACAAGTTGGTTGGGACTGCCAGCGTGCCTCTCTCCGACGTGAACGCCCAGGCGAAGGGGTCAAAGCCGCTGTCGTACCCAGTCCAGAAGAAGTCGGGGCAGCGGCAGGGAGTGATCAACGTGGCCGTGAAGGTGGGGAAGGTGTTGTCGGCAGAGGAGGCCGCCAAGTACGCCGCTCCAGCAGTGGGCCTGCCCGCCATGGCGGCAGGCGGACAGCACTACGCCCAGCAGCAGTACCGCCAACAGCAGTACTACCCCCAGCAGCAGTATTACCCCCAGCAGTATGCGCAGTCGAGCTACTACCAACAAGCCCCGAGGCGAAGCAGCATGATGGGAGGCCCCGGAATGGGGCTGGGCGCTGGGTTGTTGGGTGGCGTGTTGCTGGGATCCGCTCTTGACGGTGGCGGTTGCGGTGGCGGATGTGGAGGAGGCTGTGGTTGTTGATGTGGTTACAGAGGGTGTGAAAACACGGGTGATTGCATCCGCTCACGAAGACCAGGCTTCGGTGGGGGTTTGCCGAGTTGTACATAAAAACTTGGGTGGCAGCCAGCTTGTGCGTGCTCAGAGCGAGCACATGGGGATGTCGCGTTGAGATGTAGACAGGATTGTTGGTGCGGAGCACCGAGAACAGAAAATTGTATCATTCTTTGCGCCAAATTGGAGGCGTCGTAATGCACACACATGATTTAATTCGTGAGTAACGAAGCTGGAATGTCGCTGGGGCATTGAGTAGTATGATGTTTTTGGATCTGATGTCAGATTAGAAATTTGTTGACAGATAGTCAAGGATACAGTAGAGTGCAAAAAGTTTTCGTCGGGTGTGGCTGTGACCGTTTATTTCATCTTGGATATCAACTTTTGGTCTTGAATTGTTTATTGTTTGGAATCTGAAGTTATCATTTAGAAATTTGTTCTGAACTTTCTCTGCTGTTTTAACTCATTGTTAATTAATTAAAGGTAATTGAACTAAATTGAGGTGATTCTGTAAATTATAGATTTTAATAATTATCTTATCAAATGTAATAATATTTCTAAAACATTATTATCAAATTAAGAAATATATAAAAAATTTGAATGTAAAGTATAAAAAATATATAGAAATGAACACATCAAATTAAACTAAATAGACAACATGGGAATGAAAATCATATCTAACAATACTGAAATAAATAAATAAATAAATAAATAAAACACCATTGTATTTAAATCAATTGTTGTAAAAATCTAAATAAAACTCTGCTATCAAAAATAAATCTACTTTAAGCAATATATAAAAATGAGTACTAAACCTATTCCTTAGTTGTAAGAATCAACATATTGTCTCTTTCAAATAAAGTTTATTAAAAAAAAAAAAAACCCCCCACATAAGATACTTCCAAATTATAAGATAATATTGGTAACAATAAAAGTAATTTAAAGTTAAAAAATAGTGGACTACTTACATTATTAAAGAAAATATTTTTTTAAATAGTGAATAAATGAAGAGATATTTTATAATTAAGAGTTACTTTAAAAGCACCACTTATCAACAAAGTATGATTATAAGGCATAGTAAACATAGTTTGAAACATTTAAAAGCAACTCCAATAGTAGACCATCGAATTGAAGAGCGAAATAGTCTACTATTATTTACAAAATCTATCAAATTAGAAAAGTTTAAAATTCTATCAAAGCTAGAAGCAACAAAGACCATAAGATTTAGTGAGGAAATATTAAATAAAATTTAAGATTTACCATTTGAAATTTTACTAGATATAAATATAAGTTGTGAGTCATTAACAATCATATAAAGTGGATAAGTTATACTAAATAATTGATATTGAGTTCTATTTGTGGATGACATAATAATATAGTTTTATATTGCAAGAGTATAACAAATGATGAGTACAATTTAAAGAAGCCAAGTATGTCAAAAATAGAGTAATGAGAGAAAATAAACCAACAAAGGCAACAAGCAAAAAATCAAAGAATAGTTTGTAGCAGCAAGCAAGAACTAATCCAAAAATAGTATAGAATTATACTATGTAGAGTCTAATTTTGTAGAATATCAATTAATAAAAATGATAGATATAGATATTAAGAAAGAACCACAAAGAGAGTAGTCAAGGAAATTTTTGGCATCAAAATATATTATAGATATAAAAGAAGGAATAAATAATTTTAAAAAGTGAAATATATTGCAATTTTATTTTTTAATACTAATTCTTTTATCTTAGATCTAAAAAAAAAAAAAAAAAATCTAACTATAAATAATATTATTCCAATTCCAATATATGCTGCATTCAAGTTAACAGATCATACTTCTTGTATACTTACAAAATTGATTTTTATTTTTATTTTTTATTGTATAAAAAGTTCAATTGATAAGACAAAAATCTACTTAAGATGACAAAAATAATAGGTCCTTCTAAACCTTCCTCCAATTACAACATGATAGAGGTATTTTGACCATATTGTATAAAAGAGAGTACTCTAAAATTCTCATAAAAGATCATACAAATTAATTTATAAATGTTAAAAAATCTAACTAAAATTTTGTATTTAAATATTATTATATACATTGTAAGATGTTTGAATGAATTTAAAAAATGTTTAAGTTACATAGTTATATTTTTAGTTTAGTATTTGGACATAATATTGTTTTGATTTGAATACAAAAACTTTGTAGCCAAAAAACTTAGAAACATTGTAGAAGTTAGAAAAATCATTGGTGCTAAAGATTGGTTTATAAATCTTAGAAGCAATAACTTAACATATAATTAACATTCAAGGATATGAATCATGACAAAACTTTGTGAAGAAAAATATACTCTTGTATAACTAAAACAGAGAAAGTCCACAAATAAGATATATATATATATATATATATATATATACATATATGATAGAAACAAACTAAAATAGTTATTTCCAAATATATAGACTTAATAGGTTTTTAACCAAGATTACAATACAAAAAAGGTGTTGATAAGATTAAGTATGGCCACAATCTCGCCTATATATATGTCTATATATATATATATATATATATATAGATATATATACTAGCTCCCAAAAATGTCTTATGAGGGCTTTCAAGGGGCGACATAGCATTTAGTTTATGCTTCATGATGTAAATTGCTTCCTACACAACTACCTACAAGTAAGAAATAACACAAGTTTCAACAGTTACATGGCATATTTATACAAATCCCAAAATCTCATCCATAATTTTAAAAAAAACCTTGGAGCTTTTTAAAATAATATTACCAACCTAATAAATTAATTTTATCTAATTTTTCTTAAATCTATTTATTTATTTAATATATATTAGTTATAAATATAAAAGTTGAAAATATATAATGTTTTTAATACCAAATAAATTGTATATATTATCAATTCCTCAAAAAAAAAAAAAAAAAAAAAAATCAACTTTAAGATCTAGAAAATAAATTTTATAACTTTAAATGAACAAAAATAAAGAATATTGTCAAGATAGCATTTATCCTCCAATGAAAATTACAGAATCACCTCAATTTAGTTCAATTGCCTTTAATTAATTAACAATGAGTTAAAACAGCAGAGAAAGTTCAGAACAAATTTCTAAATGATAACTTCAGATTCCAAACAATAAACAATTCAAGACCAAAAGTTGATATCCAAGATGAAATAAACGGTCACAGCCACACCCGACGAAAACTTTTTGCACTCTACTGTATCCTTGACTATCTGTCAACAAATTTCTAATCTGACATCAGATCCAAAAACATCATACTACTCAATGCCCCAGCGACATTCCAGCTTCGTTACTCACGAATTAAATCATGTGTGTGCATTACGACGCCTCCAATTTGGCGCAAAGAATGATACAATTTTCTGTTCTCGGTGCTCCGCACCAACAATCCTGTCTACATCTCAACGCGACATCCCCATGTGCTCGCTCTGAGCACGCACAAGCTGGCTGCCACCCAAGTTTTTATGTACAACTCGGCAAACCCCCACCGAAGCCTGGTCTTCGTGAGCGGATGCAATCACCCGTGTTTTCACACCCTCTGTAACCACATCAACAACCACAGCCTCCTCCACATCCGCCACCGCAACCGCCACCGTCAAGAGCGGATCCCAGCAACACGCCACCCAACAACCCAGCGCCCAGCCCCATTCCGGGGCCTCCCATCATGCTGCTTCGCCTCGGGGCTTGTTGGTAGTAGCTCGACTGCGCATACTGCTGGGGGTAATACTGCTGCTGGGGGTAGTACTGCTGTTGGCGGTACTGCTGCTGGGCGTAGTGCTGTCCGCCTGCCGCCATGGCGGGCAGGCCCACTGCTGGAGCGGCGTACTTGGCGGCCTCCTCTGCCGACAACACCTTCCCCACCTTCACGGCCACGTTGATCACTCCCTGCCGCTGCCCCGACTTCTTCTGGACTGGGTACGACAGCGGCTTTGACCCCTTCGCCTGGGCGTTCACGTCGGAGAGAGGCACGCTGGCAGTCCCAACCAACTTGTTCGACAGCTTGCTGTGGTGGTAAATCTCCACGGTGATGTTGGCGCTGCCCTGCTCCAGGAGTGTCTCCTCCACCACCAGTCTCACCAGAGCATTCCATGTGGGGTTCACGCCCCCGCCCTTGTTCACGGGCCCGGCAACCTTCGTGTGGGGGTAGATCCACGCCACGCAGTAAGGGTCCATGGTGCCCCCCGTCAACTTCACGTTCTTCAAGTCTTGCGCCGATAGCACCGTCACTTCCAACTCCCGCTGCTGCTGCTGCTGAGACCCCATCCTCACAACACTGATTCCTGTGCACCACCGCCTACTCTAACTTCCCTCACTGTAAGTCCGCTCACTTGTCGAACTCCGATGCAATCACCCAATCCCTGGGCTGAATTCGCCTTGCTCCGATGCAGGAGCTTGTCTTTGATCCTGCGACGAAACTGAAGTGGAACTGTAATCCGCAGAAGCTGAATGAGAAGGATGGAAGTGCAGTGCAAGGCGCTGGGATTATGTACCGGTTCCGGGGGGTGGTGTGGGCGCAAGGGAGGTGTGCACGCGTGTGTGGGCAAGAGCGTGTCGGTGTAAGCAGCGAAGGTCAGACGCCGCCTCGGAGGTTCGAAGGATGGTTCATGGAAGGAGCTTGTTTGCGGGGGTACCGACATTTTTAGATGTGGCCTCGCCTGCATCGACGACGTGTCTCGGCCGAGGATCCAGGCGTCGCAGTTACGGAATCGTGTGGGATTATCTTGAGAATTACATCCGAATAACGTTATCCGAGTATTTACAACGATCGGAAGTGAATTAAACATTTGTAATGGTACATAGAATTATGTACAATTTAACGTCTAAGACTTGATGTTTTAATTGTGAATGTTTGGTTGGTTGAAAAATATTTATGTGATAGTTGTGTTTATGCATTCATCATGAAAGTGATATTGCTTGTGTTGTTGATGTGTTGTATCTTATAATATGTTAAATATAATTATGTACAATATATATATATATATATATATATATTCAAGCTATAAACTTTATTGTCTTGATTATGTTCTTGATTATAATAGGGAATGAATAGATGACCTTATGATTACATATTTCTTTACTTGGCCACTTTGAGTTTTATTGACATTAGTTCAATTAATTTGACACTATTCTCATTCATTAGCCATCCTTCTATGACACTAAACTAAGCTTTGTCATCCATCAAAGACTTGTTATTTTCATATTTTGCAATTAAAGCTAGAACATATACAAACTTTGGTTCTTCTTTTGTTCTTTGATTACATAGAGTTTGAAGAGCTGCTTATACGAAAAGTTAGTGTTAATGCCTTGGCCTAATTTTTTTTGTAAAGAAAAATATTTGGCAATTTATTGGCCTAAGGTAATGCCTATGTTGACTATTTTTAGATTAATTATAAAGAATACTTGATTTGGTCATTACATAGTATCAAATTATTGATTTTGATTCTTATCTTGAATTTCTTACTATAGGTTTATACTTCAGGTTCTCCTTCCTTATAAGTCTTTACTTACTTTTGTTGTAATTACATAAGAGAGTATAAATTTTACGTTATTTTTTTTAATTATGATTTTGTATCTTTTTTTCTTTGAATTGTGTAATACTTCAAGCATGTTGATTTAGAATTTTTTAAAATTTAACATAGATTTTCTAACATCAAGTTTAGTAGCAACATTAATATTCTATGCTGTCTTTTGTATTTAAAAGGCTCCCATTGCCTTAGAAGGCCTATCAATAAATCAAGCAAAGGTGGTGTGAAAAAAGAAACATTATAATTACCACTAAGACAAAATCAATGTGTGGTTCTTATAAAATCTATTATAAGTATGATAAGTTTGATTTCTAAGAAATGATTGTGTAGAGATAAGGTTGAAATTTGACCTCAAGATATAAAAATGAGAATCTATGAAGAATAGAGGTTATTTTTTAATTTTTATTGAAGATTGAATGATGAGGTTTATAAATAAGTTCCAAGAGTGGTCTAGGATGTAAGGTTTGTAGGATTAGGACTAAATAAAGACCTTTAATAAAGCAATTAATGCTAGGATTTTGTGGGCAATAAAGATTAGTGAAAATTCGAAGTTCATTTTTGATACTTTATGTAAGAATTAAATATGTTTAATAGTATAAATGTATAAGAAAGATATTTTCTTCTTAAATTTAGTATAATTTTAAAGATATTATTGAGAGAAATTTGACCTTATATATAAGAAGATATAAGAATTGGGCAATTTAAGGCAAGTCACAATGTCTTATTCATGTAAAGTTTTAAAAAATTGAATAAAGAAAAGATTCAAAATACTAATAGAAGATTTTATTTTCATATTCAATACCAATTTTATGTGAATTTCAACAATTAAATTAGGAGAATCAATATTTGGAAGTATTTATCAAATTTGGAATAGAATACCAAATAATGCTAATAAAAATTTAATTTTAATGACTATTAATTTACAAATTTGATCTTTTTAAAATTTTATAATTCATTGAATAATTTTAAGAGAATTTAATGATGCAAGTGGAATTTGATGATATAATAAAATATATAAATCTATTCTAATAATAAAATTATTATATTATTATATTATAATATTTTAACTTTTTATAGGTTAATAATTAATATTTAAAAATATATATATATTTATTTGGATTTTTAGGATCTAACTTATAAAATGTTATAGAATTAAAGTTTTAGGATATAAATGAATTTAGATTTTGGAATATAATAGAACTTTAATTTTCTTAAATTTATAACTATTAATAATATTATTATTAGAAGATAAAATTTACTATTATGTAATTTTTAATAATCTTCACTTACTACATAAAATATTTATAATAGAAACTAAAATATAGTAAATTAAAACTTTACTTGTTGCATAAAAAAATTTAAGATCTCTACATTCATTGAGTTTTATTTATTTTATCTATTATAATATATTTAAACCTTTAGAAGTTGGAAATAATAAATTATAAGGATACACTACAATATAAATTATATATATGAATTATATTAATATTTTTGTATTAAAAATAAAGTGATATTTTAAAAAATCTATTTTTCTATTTAATCTTAGTAATTAGATAGACTTGAATAAATAGAATATTTTCTGATAAAAAAATTTCTTAATAAAATTTTCTTTTAGTTTGTTTTAAAAGTAAATTTTTATAGTTTAAAAATATTTCAAAAGATTTTTAATGATCCACGCTTTTTAAAGACTATAATAAATATTGTTGTTCTTCTTGTAATTGCCAACTTATAGACGACACAGTTGGTTGTCATCCAAATGTCACCTAAATATCTTGACAAACGCTTCTGAAAATTAATGAATCGATTTTATTTTTACTTTGCCATAAAAACAATAAAGATAATAAGAATTTGATAACTTCAATTTACTACTTGACTAATTAAGTTGAAGCTTTAATAGTAAATGAATATATTTAAGAAGTAGTTGTAACTATTATCTATAACAGAATCTTTTGAATGTTTAACTATTTTTTCTACAAATATTTATAGATGAAGGATCTCACTTTGTAAGCTTCTCAGTCATGTCTCTACTTTAACTTTTTTTAGGTAAATTACAATAAGAAAAGCTGGTGTTTTCTTCAAGCCAAAAAATTGGTGAATAACTAATTGGTGACCAATGGCATTTTAATTAGAATAATCAACAAGGTTATCCTTGATAAAAAAGAAAAAATAGAATTGATATGTAAGTGAGGAACTTTAAGAATATTATGATACCTAAAAACTAATCATTACATTTCTTCTTTTCTAACTCAATTTCAAATTTGGATTAGTGGTTTCAATCAAATAAATAATTCTATTTTTAATAAGCATATACAAATATGGTTTTAAAAAGCTTACTTATTGGAAGTTCAACTAATATTCCTTGAGGAAGTAGATGAATTGGAAGAATAACCCATTTAGAGTATAAAAATTATTTAGAATAATAATATTATTATGAAGGTAGTTAAATATTCAAAAAATAAACAAACAAATAAACAAAACAAAACAAGGTTCTTTCATTTGGAATATATTTTAACTTTGAGGGCAAATAAATCCTTATTTCTTAATACTTCAAACCTAACATTATCAAAATTATTAATTTTAATTATGATTCTAGAATCTAAGTCCTATAAAATTCTAAATCTTAAGCTCCTAATTTTGTATTAGAGATATTTTTTTATAATTATTTTACCTCATTTTTACATCTTTATGGCCCAATTAAGGTAATAATATTTTAAAATACAAAAAATAGCATAGAAATTTATTTTTGTAGCTAAATTCAATCTATTAGATTTGCATTCCTAAAAAAGTGTCTATTAGCTTTATACCTAAGTTTTTCTATATGTTTTGTCTTCACCTATTTTTTTATCTAATAGTTTTGTTAAAATACATAAATAAAAGATTTGACACAAATTGACCAAGAAAATTTTACACTTCAATTAATGAGACTTTATCATATTTTTATAAAATAAAATGAAAAAAATAACAAAGCTAAAAATTTAAGTTGAAGTAAAGAGGTTCTTATATAGTGCATCAAAAATTCGATAATAAGACATATTTCTTTAATATTCTTAACAATAAAATGAGAAAAAAAAATACATAATGACAATAAATTGAACTTATATGAGCATTTCTTATAGAAGATTCTTAACAATTGCAATTTGCAATAAGATCGGAGGGGAGATGCGACATGCTAATTTATCTAATATAGCAAGAACTTACATTAGGTCAGCCTTAAAAAGAAATGTAATATAATTATAAGACTTGAATCTAAGAATAAAAAAATATGTTGCTAATACTTATTTCTTCTTCTCAAAAAATAAAGAGAATAAAAAGAAATTGATAATAAAGATATATTTTCTAAGATTCGAGATCAAGAAAAATAAATAAATAAATTATAAATATTTTAATTTAATAATATAATTGAAGGCCTTTTAAATAAATAAATAAATAAAATATATTCATTTTTAGCCAATAAATCTTTCTAAACTATGGCTTGATAGGTGTTTATTATTAATTTGGAACTTAGATTTTGGTTAAGAAGTACTTTATTTAAATCATTTTTTAAACATTATAGTGTGTATGAAATTATTTTAAGTCGTGCAAATTGTGTGATTGAGATTGACTTAATAAAAAATACATTTGTATTAAGATTGGGCTATGGTTTGATTTGAATAAGTCTTTTTGTAACAAAAGCTGAATGGTTAGTTTATAAAGAACTCTTTGCCATTCAAGCATATAAAAATAAAACAAAATTTTATTTTAATAGATGATTAAATAATCTTTAATATTAACTTAAAATCAATGTATATTTGGCAAGGAATAAAACAAATTGATACTAAAATGTTTAGAAATAAGAAATTATGAGGTAGAATGACTTTTTGAAGCCATGATGCAATGCTTGTAAAAGAAGATTTGAATTTTTATATTTAATAAATTATATGAATTACTTTTGTAATAAAAAATTATATTTTATGCTAAGTATATAGTAACCAAGAGAGATAAGAGTATAAAGATCTATGGTTCTAATATTTTTTATATTTTTTTTACATATCTTATTCTTGGCTCTAAGATTTAAATGCCAACCTTTGCATGCAATCATTTTTTTTAACTCTTAAGATTTTTTGCCATAGGATTTTATAAATTTAAATAAAAAATAATAATAAAATAATATTTTAAGCCAAAATAATAACTCTATAGTTTAGACATTGTATTAAATTTATGTGTGTTTATTAAATTGTGTAAAATAAGATTGAAATCTATAAAACTATTAAAAATATAAAGATTTATTAAATTATGAATTCATAGTAAATATTTATTAGATGTTCAAAAAAATTAAATTTTTTATTTGATCTTTATGAAGATATAAAATTATGTTATCTTATGAAATATTATTAAAATAGCTTTGTCTTTTGTATAAAATCAAGTATCTTTTTTTGATAAAATTGGCCAAAAAAATAAATTTACATGTATTAAAAGAAATAAACTAAGGTCTAATAACTTAAGTAAAGCAAGAACCAAATTCAAGATGACCTTATTTATAATGTATCTATTTTTTTCTTGCACATAGGATAGAAGAACTAATGTTTATAAAAAATAATTGTTCTATAATTCCTTATTACAATCTTTTCTTTACTCATTGAGTTTAAAATATAAAAAATTCTTTTTTCTCTTCTTCTTCTGGTTATTTTTTATAACTTTTTATTCTTTCTATAGATTGATTTTTGCAAAGTGAGACTTTGCATTGTTCAATCCTACATTCTCAATTAGACTTGTTCTCATTTAGTGCTAAAAAATTGATGTTCTCATAAATTGATTTTTTTATTTTTATTCTTTTAGTTTGAAAAAAATAAGTTTTATTAATTCTTTCATTCTTTATTCTTTTTATTTTTTCAAATCTTCTATATAAAGCTCTATTAGTAGAATTTGATACTTATTGTTTAGCACTAATTTTTTTTTACTTTGTATTGCTATTAAATCTATCATCTTTTTGTGTGTATTTAGATTCTCTAAATACTAGGAAGACTTTATTTAATGTTGTGTCATTTCAATCTATGGCCCTTACTTCTTCCACCTCCAATAGACTTTGTAAATTTTTTATGTAATGCAATGTACAAGCAATAGCACTCTTTTTCTTTCGCCAACTTTTTAGACTATTACAACTATTCATTTTAAAAGTCTTTGAATTCTTGTTTATAGTACCTTCTTGCCTTACTTTGATGTTATTGTAGAAAAATAATGCCATGCTTTCTAGCTAATTTGTAAATAAAGTGTTTTTGATATTCAAAGTACTTATTTTTTTTCCTTTTATTATTTATTTAGTTAGTTAGTTAGTTTTTACTAAAGTTATCACATTTAAAGTGGAATATGTGTTGAGGGAGTGAGGCTACTCCAATTTAAAACTATATAGAGGGTCTATTAACTATAAAGAGAGATATTTTTTATCTTAAATAAATCAAAAATGAGATTTGATCTTAACCACCAAGATCACCAATGTTATGACCATGCTCTGTCTTTTTATTGTAGATACTAGCAATAGTAATCAATAATAGATTTTTGTTTTAAAAAAATAAAAAATAAAAATAAAAATAAAAATAAAAATGTACAAAATAAATGAAGACTTAAACTTTCTTTTGATAATTGATTACAAGGCACAATTTTAGATATTGAAGAAAACATATGGCTTGAACTTCCTAGATTATTTACAATGCTTATATAAGTCATGGTTGACAACACAATTGTCAAAAATTAGAAGAAGATTACAAATCTATTAAAAACTATAGAAAATGTCATAACCTCTTCCTAATATACTTATTAGATGTAGATAACACAAATAGATAGGATTTATGCAACCTTGTATAATATATGGTACTTAATTTTTTACTCTAAAAGGAAGTATTTTATAATACAATCTTTACAAAATATATTGGATTAGAAGATTATTTTAAAATAATTGCATTAAATCTCACAAAAAGTTATTAATAATATAAATTAATATAATATTAAATTCTAATTTAGTATAGTGGCTATATTAAAAAGCCATTGATTTATAAAACTTGTAAGAATATGTTTTGTAACAAAATAGAATTCCAATGATGTATTTATACCAATGATATATACAAATATCATCAAAGATAAATTCAAGTTACTGAGAGTTTTTTTTATTATTATTTTTATTATTTTTAGAATTTAGAATTTAATGTTTTTCACCATCTTTGTCACCATAGTTAATATACCAATTTACTTGAGTAATATACCCATACTAAAATTCAATAAAACAATTCGAACCAAAACTATCAAATAATCAATTTCGGCCAGATGTGATTTAGATGACTTTTTACCCACCGAAGCTAAATTTGACATCGAAAAACCTTCGAACAGATTGATTACAATGTGTGTACTTATCTGTTCAAACATAATATCTACTTGTTAATTTGTATGTGAGTGACAAATCACATACAGCCAAAAGCAAAACGTTTGTAAGTTCAACCTTCACAACAATGTACTTGGTTCATTCTAAGACATGAGATCACAACACACAGCAATAATGCAATCAATGGCAATTTCACGGTACCTGAACAAATATAACTATCACAACAACGTATTTTCCCAAGCTGATGATTTATATTTGCAGCATCATATCATCCATGTTTAATTGTACATAATCTTACATATTTTACATACCGCCACCAGTGTTATTTCATAATCGGTTGGGGAAACCCTTCGGAAGTTAAAGATCGGGCGTCATTGTGCGGGATATTTCCCGCACATCTCCGTAACTGCGACGCCTGGATCCTCGGCCGAGATACGTCGTCGATGCAGGCGAGGCCACATCTAAAAATGTCGGTACCCCCGCAAACAAGCTCCTTCCATGAACCATCCTTCGAACCTCCGAGGCGGCGTCTGACCTTCGCTGCTTACACCGACACGCTCTTGCCCACACACGCGTGCACACCTCCCTTGCGCCCACACCACCCCCCGGAACCGGTACATAATCCCAGCGCCTTGCACTGCACTTCCATCCTTCTCATTCAGCTTCTGCGGATTACAGTTCCACTTCAGTTTCGTCGCAGGATCAAAGACAAGCTCCTGCATCGGAGCAAGGCGAATTCAGCCCAGGGATTGGGTGATTGCATCGGAGTTCGACAAGTGAGCGGACTTACAGTGAGGGAAGTTAGAGTAGGCGGTGGTGCACAGGAATCAGTGTTGTGAGGATGGGGTCTCAGCAGCAGCAGCAGCGGGAGTTGGAAGTGACGGTGCTATCGGCGCAAGACTTGAAGAACGTGAAGTTGACGGGGGGCACCATGGACCCTTACTGCGTGGCGTGGATCTACCCCCACACGAAGGTTGCCGGGCCCGTGAACAAGGGCGGGGGCGTGAACCCCACATGGAATGCTCTGGTGAGACTGGTGGTGGAGGAGACACTCCTGGAGCAGGGCAGCGCCAACATCACCGTGGAGATTTACCACCACAGCAAGCTGTCGAACAAGTTGGTTGGGACTGCCAGCGTGCCTCTCTCCGACGTGAACGCCCAGGCGAAGGGGTCAAAGCCGCTGTCGTACCCAGTCCAGAAGAAGTCGGGGCAGCGGCAGGGAGTGATCAACGTGGCCGTGAAGGTGGGGAAGGTGTTGTCGGCAGAGGAGGCCGCCAAGTACGCCGCTCCAGCAGTGGGCCTGCCCGCCATGGCGGCAGGCGGACAGCACTACGCCCAGCAGCAGTACCGCCAACAGCAGTACTACCCCCAGCAGCAGTATTACCCCCAGCAGTATGCGCAGTCGAGCTACTACCAACAAGCCCCGAGGCGAAGCAGCATGATGGGAGGCCCCGGAATGGGGCTGGGCGCTGGGTTGTTGGGTGGCGTGTTGCTGGGATCCGCTCTTGACGGTGGCGGTTGCGGTGGCGGATGTGGAGGAGGCTGTGGTTGTTGATGTGGTTACAGAGGGTGTGAAAACACGGGTGATTGCATCCGCTCACGAAGACCAGGCTTCGGTGGGGGTTTGCCGAGTTGTACATAAAAACTTGGGTGGCAGCCAGCTTGTGCGTGCTCAGAGCGAGCACATGGGGATGTCGCGTTGAGATGTAGACAGGATTGTTGGTGCGGAGCACCGAGAACAGAAAATTGTATCATTCTTTGCGCCAAATTGGAGGCGTCGTAATGCACACACATGCTTTGATGTTTAGACTTGCTGGGTCAGTTGTACTGATGTTTGTGTTTGAAGTTAAACATGTCAGTCTTCGAAGTGTGGCTCAGTATGCCCGCATGTTGAACAGTCAGTATTTCTTTTTATTTCAAACTGCAGCCTTTAGTACCTGTTTGATTAAGCATTTACAGTAACACATTGAACGGCTGCAATAGACGAAGATTTGGAGTGGCCTGTAACGATGGCTTTAGGAAGTATTTAGCAACGTATTTTGAGATTTAGTGCTGTACTTGCAATGCTCAAGTTTGTGCCATCGTCGTGTATGGGTTTGTGTAAATGAGTCTGTTGACTGCATGAATATCATGGCATGTTATCATTTGTGGGTGTGTGCATCTGAATTTAGGGTTCAATATAAAATTATCATTCAGTTTTCGAAACTCCTCAAAGTCACATCAGAAGACATTAAACATGCAGGTTAAATTAGACACCTAAGCTCTGTCGAAGTTATCTCCGGTAGGGTTTATGGCATTCACTTAAGATGTATCATCAACAATTATCTTGTCGTGATTCAACTGTTGGGGAATAAATAATATTGAATCCTGTTGCCATGTTCGCTAAAACGATAAAAACCCAGAGGAACTTGCCCCTTTGAGTTAGATTCAGTCTTGAAATGGGTATTTATGCTGACGTCCACACCAGCAAAAGAGGCCGTGCAAGCTTCCACTTTTGAGTACCTTTTATATACGATTGTAGGGCTAATTTTTGATTCCTTGAGTTTTCTCCACAGCCTTTAGCAGCCTGCATTCGTACATCTTACGCAGGTCTTACGTGAGCATTACAATACACAAATAACTGGGTGAAATAACACAGCGCACTGCCAGCGCATGCCCAAGAAATGTAGTACATAAAAGAACCACGCCAATGTCCTGTACGTGACCCCTTCTTAGGGTTTCGCACCGGCTTCACATGCAAGATTTGTATCATTTTTATTACGATCTCCGAACAAAGGAGTTGAAATCGTGAAAATCTAAATGAATTGCGAGGATTGTCAAGGACCATTGTGCCTCACCACAGCAACTTCAACAAAGAAGTAATTGATTCTTTCACTAAATTCAATTTCAAAATAACCCCTAAAACTCCCAGAATTCATTGGGCCAGCTTTGCACATGAACTGCAACAAGCTAGAAAATTTCCAAAAACAGTGGCCAAGACGGGCACGTCTTCGAAATACGTAGCCCTTGTAAACAGACAGGGTGCGAAGATGAAGGCCAGGTGACTTGAGTGGCGTGCCTGTGATAAACCCCCTAGAAAAAGAAATCGAGAAATGTTTCGCACATCACTCTAATCAAGACTAATCACTAGGTGACATCGATCATTTAACCACAACTCAATACACAAACCCTGAACGAAAACTGGGATCCAAAGACATACAAATAAACGAAGGGACAGCGCCCGTTACTAGTTTTTACAGTGAATAGCTGTTCCCAACCCTACTACAAGGCTTCTAAAAACACGAATGACTCAGCTGAAAGCTGCTCTAAGTTATGTGGATGACACGTGCAGCTGAGAGGCCGCAACTATCAATTAATACTCAGTTCATTCTTCGGCTTTATTTTGAAGCAGCCAGAATATATTCTATTACAGATAATTCAGTAATTGCAAAGGATACAACTCCCCATTACTATTCGTGTGAATTAGAGCAATTAACCAGACCTGCCAGCCTTTTTGTCCGGAAGGTGTACTCATACAATGGTGATACATAGCTGAAATGCTGCCGTCTACAATACTGGGAGCATACTTGGATGCTCACAGACAGACCTGTCTAGTACCTGAGACACCATCTACAACCTTGTCCTGCAACTTTAGCATCAGACTGATACCACACCTGCCGGGGTTCCTTGATGCAGTATCCTCTCAGCAACCAGAAGGTCGTCGGGGGTAGTAACCTGTCCCACACCCAAAACAAATGCATATACATCATCACTACCCAGGAAACAATAACAATATACAATGTACAGCACTAGAACCAAGACGTCAAACATAACAGAAGATGAAATGTACTTTGAGATTTGTATAAGAGCCTTCTGTGATGAAGACCATGTGCTTCAAGTGCTCCACAATAGACACATCATCTGTGACCTCCAGATGCTCCCTGCCATGATGTGCAAACACGCATTATATCTAGAGCGTCAGCTTCATCCTAGCACGCAGACGAAAAATCCTTTTCTCAAACATCACCAATAAAAACTTAAAAGAATGTCTCCAAGGCTATTTCGTACCTCTCCACCAGCTCGAAGCCTCTCCGCAGCAGCTCCGGTTCAATTACCTAGCATTGATATGCACGACATTGTTAACTTAGTGATACCTATTAGCTTATTCTCTTCCTAAGAGAATCAACCAACACACTTACGAGCATACATACCTGAAACTTGAGAGAAATTAAGGTACCTAAAACCATTTCTGCGGTGTCATGAGAGTTCGAGCGTTACCTGCGGAGTTTGCATCTCCCACAAATACTTTCTATCAAGTGTTTTTGTAACGAAACCGTCACTAGCTGCCTGTTCAAAAAACACGATGGCACTGTCGGATTTGGTATATAACTCAACTTCAACGGAAGAATAAATGAAAAGAATAGAAGGAATAAAATGACCTCTTTTATGGTGGCCTTCACAGGCACCCCAAGAACCGCAGCACCATGAACTGCAGCATCATTCAGAACCTGTAAAACTCAGATGATAGATTATAAGTGAGAAAGAAAGAAAGAAAGAAAGAAAGCAAATGCCTTCTTTTTTAACTTTACGTCGAGAAAGAAAATAGAACCAGTGAGAAGCTGCATAAAAGACATTCTGAAAAAATTCCAGCTACAAGACGAGTGTTAATTGATGACCTTGCGGATATCCTTGACCAGCACGAGAGGTCGAGCAGAGTCGTGAACACACACGAGCTTTGCAGAATTAGAAATTTCCTGCAGAGTTTGTGGCGAATCCGTTTATTCGAAGGCACTCACATAGATCTTCATACATTCGTTTGAATGTCAGGTGATAAACAGTGCACCACTTACTCAACCACACGATAGCAATTAAATACACATGTATAATAAAGTTGCGTCTCAAAATTGTGTGGTGAAAAACTTTCCACTATAACTTTTGAGGTAGTCCAAAAATTCCTTGATGGCCAGTGTTTTTCTGAATATGTGCATGTGTGGTGAATATTAGCTACCGTCACCCTTGAACAGGAAAAGGTAGCTCTTTGGCCAGGTTCTTACGTTCAAGCCACTTCGTACAGAATCCTGTCTTTCTTTTCCTGGCATGGCAAACTTAACAGGTACAGCAACGTCCTTAGCAGCCTCTGCAGCACACGTAAGGTAGTTAGAAGCACAAATGCCTGCAATGACATCAATGCAGCAAAATCTAAAACAACCAGTTTCGAAGAGAACCGCAATAACTTTGTCAATGACAGCACATCGAGACCCGCAGGTCGCATGTACGCAAAAAAGGTTTGTATTTAGAATCCAGGGAAGTATGCAAAAAAAAACCTTCAAAAACGTCTCGGTATGAAGGATCACAGACCACTACTATCTCCAGAACTTCCATCATGTGAGCAAATGTCTGAAAGCTGCAAGGAAAAAATTAAGGAATTCTCAACACATAATAAATCTGTCAAAAGGAGAAATCTTCATTATCTGCACATAAAAGAGTGGATTAACGTGCAATACTGAGATTCTTGGACCAGTAAAATATCTGATACAGTGCTTGTACATGATGCCACTCCACTCATTCTCACAGAAATTAATAAGTGAACTTTTACACAACGAGAAACAAACAGAATAAAACCGTGATGTATCGCCACAGTTGAAAATCTTAAAAGATACCTGTGTAGTGCGATTGGTCGACCAAGAAGAGGTAGATACTGTTTGGGCATATTGGCCTGGAAATGCAAACAGTGATTCGGGTGAGTACAGCTTGCCTCTTCACACATTGAATTGAAGAAAAAGATAAGCACTGTTCACCTGTTACTACTTAGAGCTAACTGCATACACAAGTCTGTGTAGTCAGATACTGTTATATACAGTGAAGATAACAAAGAGGCTTACTCCCATGCGTGTGCCCTTGCCACCAGCCAGCAATATCACAGAAACGCTCTGCCTGTTACCACTCTGCATCCAGGCAGTCCTAACTGTAAGCTTATACTTGTCATGTCCATTGCCGCTCGTTTAAGTGCACACGCGAAATCAAACCAGCAACAATGAACTAAAAATCCTGAGTCCAGCTCAAACTCCAGCAATGGTGCATGTGCTCAAGCAATAATTACAACCCCGTGCCATTATATATGAAACCAGACAGTTAATTAATTACATAAGGTTTCCTGTGCAGTTTTGATTTAACCTAGAGTGTACAAAGTAAAGGAAAAAATTAACGTACCCCTTCCGCATCATCTCTTGCAATCGGAGGATCACTAGCTAAAACTGCACGAACCCGAGGACAACGAGCAAGACGACCGAGTCTCAAACGACCACCTGCAACGTAACAGCATCCATCACAAACTGCATCTGTGAATGTATAATTTGATTACAAGATTCCTTCATGGTTCAAAAAGCGTCACAACACAAACGTATCTTAATTTCTTGGAAATTGAAAGATGTGTGGCCAAATCACGTCAGGTTTGTGACACGTACGTCGCATATGACAGATACATTAAGTACCCTGGCAAAATTCCCAACGTAGACGAAGTACCTGGCAAGGTTTGTAGACGAGTTTGTCTTGTCAGATCCGTGAGTTGCTTAGGAAATTTTATGGGTTTCATGGAAATTGCCGTAGTCTCATGACTCGCGTTACCAGAGGATGTCCCATTCTGCCATTGCACTTTGCACTGGGTCCAAGACGAAGAAGGAGAAGCGGGCACAACAGGCAACGCGGCAAATAGAGTCGAAGCTTCCGCCATGGCTACAACTCTGATGCACCTGCTACAATCACGATGGATCTCTTTCCTGAGTCTCTTTCAAAAAAGAATAACGGGGAATGCTGAGCTTTGCAGCCACAAGAGCAGAAACCAGAGCTTAGAAAAGAGAAACCCAAAACCCTAGGTCCGAGAGAATGTCCTGGCGCATGAAAGCAGCTACGAATGGAATTAAGAAGACAAATGCTCCCAATGTGCTGCCCAGCTAGTACACAACTCCAAACCTTCTCGTACGAAGGTGGCCTGAAGCAAGATGATCACTACCACCTGGAAAAAAAAAAAAAAAAAAAAAAAAAAAAAAACTGTTGTACTGGTGGAATCAAGGAATTCAATCGAGAAAGATTCAATCCAAACGGATACTCCACGCACCAAAGCAAACCAAATGCCGAATTCGGAACCCACGACAAATGTGGTCCGAGGTCGAGGACGAGAAATCCCCGAGACGCCGCACAATGCAATCCAACGCAGACGCGATGCCTGCTTCACGCTCGTCGAGCCACACCACGCACGGAATGGCCCGAAGAGCTCTGAGAAGAACAACTACTCACGACAACCAGAGCAGAATCCCGCAGGCACCCAATGCCAGAAACGACGTCCAAATCCGTTCCCAAATTTAGTGACGGCAGGAGATAGGTGCTTCGAAATTCCCCGATTGATAAGAGTCGTAGGTAGAGTCGCAGCTGCTGCTGCAACGATACGACGCCCTCTGGATGACGCTCCCTCGCGGCGGCATCCGCGGTGACGACGCTCGCAGCCGCAGCCAAACATCCTCTTCGTAACGTATTGACCGCGTCCCTGGATGGATTGATGGATGGGAAGCATTATGTGGATGAATGAATTGAACCTGAAATTTTTCTCCAAATCTAGTGGACAACATTGTGTGGAATTTGTTTTTATTGGACATTGGACATTGGAATATGAAAACTTGGTGAAGAGATTTTTTTTTATTTTTTTATTTTATAATACTATTTGCAGTGGATCTTTAACTTATTCGTACATTTCAGAAAAGCCAATTTGGTGTGAAGAATAGACCTGTTTGTAATTCATCGACCAACCTCAAGCAAGAGATTGTGATTTATTTGCTCAATGCTTGTTTCGAAAAACAATAAATCAATCTTTGGATTTTTATTGAAATGCTTCAATAGAATAATTTGACCAATATTCTTAGGGTTTTTTAATAAATGAAATTTAGTACTTAGTGGTGTAATAAGTTGTTCTCTGAATGCATACTGAACACTTTGTATTTAAAAAATACAAAAATACAACAACTTCTTTTCATGTTATATTGCTGAGTGGATTGATTATTATTTTTATGTAATTTGTACTTGAACTATAGCTATAATAATCGAAGATGGAATTGAATACTCCATAAGATTTATTTTTTATTTTTTAATTTTTTTGTTGTGATTTTGTCTTTAACTAAATAGTGATTACATTCTTTCGGCTTCTACATTTAAACTTTTATTATCTATTTTTTTACACATTTTGAATTCATAGTAAATTTGTATTTTGAAGTAAATGCTTCATTTTTTTATGCATAGCTATTATAAATTGCAGTTTCAATGTCGAATTACAGCATCAGTTCTTCAAGAAATAAAAATAAAAGTAAATAGCAGCATATCATTACACATTGTTTTATTTTAGAATAGAAGTTATATTGTTTTGAGAGATATATCTTTAAATTTTGTGTAAACACTAGCTCGATATATACAATTTTTTTAGTTCACTCTAGAAGAAACATATTCATATTTGTTTAATTTTCATTAAAATATATACACAAATACAATCTATTTGAATTAGTTTTTCTATATTTTTTAAAATAATATATTTCTCTTGTGGACTTAGTAGATGGTGGGTTGAAGGTTTTGTATGAATATGTATTCTCTAGTTTTCAAAAGCGTCTACCAATCTCTACAATCTCTTGTAGTGTAGAACAATTGTTTTCTTTAACCTAATACATTTGATTCCCAAAATTATATTTATAAATTAATTATTGTCTAATATGCATATTTCAACGAAATTCTGTAATCAGGCTTGGGTTTTCAATATCTTTTTTTTAAAGATCAACTAAAAAATAAAAAATAGAACAATTTAATTTTGTAGAGTATTTAACATAAAAAAATCTTAGGGTGGTTGTGGGCTGCAAACACGTGTGAAGTTCCACGCGCAAGCCTTAGATGGATGACGTCAGTTGCTACCCATGACGGATGACATCTGTCGAGTGCGCGATGAAGAGAACGTTGGGAACAGGCGGGGACCTCCGTCTCCATTTCCGAACCCTAAAACCCTAAACCCTGCAAAATGCAGATCATAGCGATTGCCTCAGCCGACCTTCGATGTTCAGAGTCATCGCTTGTTCCGGAAGGTTGTATCAGTAGCAACTCCTCCTGCGCGAACTGCGAATTGCAGCCGTTGCTATCCCTCGAATTATTGTAGTTTCTGTATTTTTATTTATTTTTTCGGTGAGGGTAAGCTTGCGCTCTTCCGTGTGATGGTAGAATTGTAGAATCCTCCTCAGCCTCGCGGAAATGGCGAAGGTGAGGAAAAGAGCTCAACCTAGCGGGAGGAAGGAGGCCGGCAAGAAGCGGAAGGTGAAGGGAGCTGAAGAGAGGGGCGCGAACGCGGCTGTGAAAAGTAAAAGGGACGAGGAAATTTTGAGCGAGGAAGAGGATGAGGAGTTTGGGAATGGGGGGGAGGCTCCGGTTTCGGAAGAGGAGGAAGAGGAGGTAGATTTAGAAACAGCTGATGAGAAGAGGTTGAGGATTGCCAGGGCTTACCTTGAACGTACTCGACAGGCTGCAGCTGATGCTGAGGTGCGTGGTCTCTTAATTCATTTTTATAATTCTTCCCATAATTTGATGTTCCCTCAGTGTGTGATGTGGACATTGAATCATTGTTTTTAGGAATCACAATCCTCTTAGCTTAAGTTATTACAATATCTACATTTGTTTGAGAATTTTATCGAGAGAGATTTAGTTCTCTTGTTGCGTTTCGTTCTGCATTAGTGCTTAGGATTGGACTACAAGCTGTGAGTTGAATACAGATTTTTGAATATGTATTGCTAATATTTCCACTCTAGTGCATTAATTAGGTTCACCGTTATTTCTTTTGTATCTTCGATAATACTTTCCTGAGAGCAGGGGAACAGTAGAATACATTGGTTTATTAAGTATGCCAATTTGACCGGCAATATTTCGTGTAGGATGATGTCGATGGCGAGACAACAGATCAGCGTATGGGAGCTCGTGATAGCATGGTTGCGGATTTATTGCAACAAGAGCAGCTTGAAGAGAGTGGTCGCGTGCAGCGTAAATTAGCTTCGAGGTGATTGCACTGGCTTATTTACTTTATTTACTTTTTACACTAGATTAGAAGATTATTTCAGTTTATTGTGTATACAGGATTTCCAGACTTTTCTGGAACTTCTTGTTGCTAGTTGCCGACATTGTGATATGCTGGAAGCTTGTCGCTGAGATTATGTATTGGCTTGTTTTCCACTTGAAAAATAGCTTTGAAATATAACGGGTTGGAACTACGTTGCGAGCTTTGAATTCTCTTTTAGTTGATGCTTTTTTATACGCCCACTATAGTATGATAAGCTATTCTGTCACTGAGGTTGTTTGGATGTCTCTTCAGGGTTGTGCAACCCACGGTTGTGCCAGAAGGAAAAGCAGTAGGCAGGAGACATCGACAATCAGTAACGGCTATTTGTATTTCGGATGACGACACATTAGGATTTTCTGCTTCTAAAGATGGAATGATCGTGCAATGGAATGTTGAAACCGGGACGAGTGACAAGTATCAGTTTCCCGGAAATAGTGTAGATCCATCTACTGCAAATGGAGGATTAGTACAAGGAAGTACAATTAAAAAAGCAGGTAGGAAAGGAAGTAGACATATACTTGCATTGGCAGTGAGTTCTGATGGCCGTTATTTGGCTTCTGGAGGTCTCGATCGAGCTATACATCTTTGGGATACTCGTACTCGTCAACATCTTCAGGTATGATCTGGTTCTGTGTTTATTACAATACGTATTTCCAGTATTCGACCTATTGAAACGGACTGCACGTTTGGATAAAGGGGAGTCATTTTGTGTGGGTGGCAGTGTCTACAGACCTTTTCTTTTTCAAGCTCATGTTCTGAGGTTTTTGAAATGTTGTTTCGTGGACTTGAACACGTCTTTCTGTAACTTTGAAGTTTCCGAAAACCTCGATTTTGAACTTGTCTCGTATGTACAGGCATTTAACGGACATAGAGGTGCCGTTACGGGTTTGGCGTTTAGACAGGGTACACAACAGCTTATGTCGAGTTCTTTAGATCGCACTATCAAGTTGTGGAGTGTGGAGGATCGTTCCTACATTGACACTCTATACGGACACCAAAGTGATGTCATTGCAATAGATTGTCTTCGTCAAGAACGCATTCTTTCTTGTGGACGTGATCGAACTCTTAGACTGTGGAAGGTACATTCATATGTCGCTTGCCTAGATATTTTCTTGAGAAGACTGAGTGGATAGGAGCTTTGGAACCATGAACCATGTTTCCGGTGTCGTGGCTTTATGTAACTGGCGTCCAGGTTTTGCCATTAGGATTTTTGCCAGCTGGTTTGTCTAAGAAGTTGAGTATTACGGATTCAGATTTTAGTTTTGGGGGTCTTCTACCTCTTGTTAGTAACGGATTCGTGTTTTGTTCGACAGGTTCCAGAGGAATCGCAACTTGTGTTTAGAGGTCATCAAGCTCACATTGAAAGCTGCTGTTTTATTACGAATGGAGAGTTTTTGTCTGGTTCAGATGACGGCAGTGTATCTCTATGGAGCACTTTAAAGAAGAAGCCAGTGTTCTTAGCTCATAGTGCACATGGTAGTACAAAACGACATCATATGAATGAAGATTTAGCTAATGGAGAGATGCCCACAGAGCAATCCAGTACTCTAGCTTTGGTGAATGGAAATGACAATGGTACTTTTAACAATTTCCGCGGCACTCGCCTTTGTGATACTTTTAATGTAGTTTATGTCCCTGTACTAGTTCGTGACTGGGTATAATCGTTTTTCATTTGTAAAGATATCATCAATACAGCAGTACTTAATAACATCTATCAAGTAAGCTGCATGTTATTTTCGTCTTGGTTTCTTGTTTCTCGCTTGCGTTTTCTAACAATTATGAACATTTTATGTAAGCAGGCTACATCAAGGATGATTCTGTTCCCTCTGAGGTTGGTGCAGTAGAGTCCTGGGTTGGAGCAGTAGCAGTATGTAGAGCTAGCGACTTGGCAGCATCTGGAGCAGGGGATGGTACCGTGCAACTTTGGGCCCTTGAAGATACGAACCGAGTTCTTAAACCTCTTCACAAGTTGCCAGTGGTAATTTACCTATTCGTATTATTCCTGATGTAAACGTACCAGCGCCTTTCCTCTTCTCGGGGATGTCTATTGTGCTTCGTTTTTTTTGTGCATCTAACAAAGATTTCTTGTGATACTAATGGACATTTGGATCTGGCATTCTTTTGCAGAAAGGATTTGTCAACTCCTTGGCATTTTCACATAGTGGCCGATTCCTCCTTGCGGGTACTGGCCAGGTATGTCAGCTTTCTATTGAAAGCCTTGCCTAGTTTCTGCCTAATTTTTAGATATTGGATCCACTCCAGTTTTTTCTCTTAGTGCATAATTGTTAATTCGCTCCTAGCCATCTCATGTAGAGCTTGGAATGGTTCAGAATCGGCAACAGATTTTGAGTGAATATAGTGTCAAAAGTCAGAGTTGTTTTCACAAATTTACTGTGACGTGTATGCTTGCTTGGACAATTTGAACTCATTCATCAACGTGTTTGGACAGGAACCTCGAATGGGAAGATGGGGAAGGAATTCAGCAGGAAGAAATGGAGTTATTATGCATCCTATCGAGTTATCATGATTATCCCAGCCGTACGTGTGACAATTGCTGGCAGCAGGTTTAGCAACGTGAAGTCGCAATTTTTTTCTTTTCGAGCTAGTTGTGATGAAGTTACTTGACAATTTTCTGTCAGAGTGATGTAATCATACGACCGTAACTTTTTAAAGACCACCCCAAGGTTGGAGTTAACCCCTGATACGTTCTAGGAGTGCAACAGCTCAGTGGAGATTTTTGTGTTTAATGACAATTTTCTCTTACAGCGGATCCCCATGATTTCACTGCAGGCAGAAATCATCGACGCAATCGGTGGTCCTGCCGCCTGGACATGAAATCAGGTTTTGTTGTCTGGGAAGACTTAACTCCACCCCAGAGATGAAATGGTACGAGTCAGGATATGCGTGGCGTCTTTTGCATCTGGCTGTAGCGGCGGGCATGTTTGACAATGTTTCAGATTCCAGTCCTACCGATATTTTTTTGTGAAGCTCCATCAATGATTCTAACTTAACCAGTGACTTGTTCTAGAGGAGTCCCCATTGCGTTCTTTCCAATTCAATCATTATTGAATGCTTACAGTTGCCTCTGAAAGTCGGTGCTGGCAGAAATATCAGTACTAAAGTCTTAGGTATTTCAAGAATGACAATAAATTGCTTCACCTACTGCCCGCATACGTCTTCTGGGGGTTTTCTCTACACGCCATTATTTTCCAACAATGGTCGATCAGATGTTCCATGTCTGTGAAATGACGGTAGACATTGATCGGGACCAAATAGAGGAGTCTAATTTCAAGTATTTTGACAACGGCGAAAGGAACGTGTCGAAGCAGAAACTTGTTGAAAGAGACGTAGTAATGAATCATTGTTAAGGACCCTACATGATCCCTAGGATCTCTGTCCCTGTCATTTTCCTTACTTATCTATCCTGAAACTCTTCACCATAGTACACAATGCATATCAAGGCAATAAAAGCTCCAAAGGCTAAACAAAATTTAAATTTCTAGTGCTGATTTCTATGGTTCCGATCACAACTTGTGACAATAATTAAAGATGCGTGGTAGAGCGGTTTGACTTTTTGTCTGGGACATGGGTACAATCAATTATGTAAATCTGTTCATGTGATATATCAACACTTTTATGATGTTAACATCATTTTCTGGTCAAGAGTGAAAATTGCAAGCTAACCTTTCTATTTTCTCTCAAGGAGCAGCGCATTGTACCAGTAAGCACACTAAATTATACTTATGTACTTATTTGTTTATTTATTCATTTGTGTGTATGTTTGAAGTAGGAAAAAAAGGGAGGTTAAGACTTTTGACTGTACCATGTCCCATGTCCCTCGTTCCCAGCTCCTCACCTCGTTTCGTTTAAGATGTTTCGACGTTAATGAACCTGATCAAATTCTGCTTAGAACCCCCGAAACCCTCCCTCAACTGGTTTGCCGTCTACGATCCCAGATTCCAAATTCACATTCCGCAGTGCCTTCCAACGCCAACAGTTGAAAATCCCCAAAATTAAGCCCCTTCTTTGGGATCCGGCTCTGGTAAGGTTTACTGGGTAAATTTAATCAAGTGGTGGGGCAGCGTTGCACTAGTCCTTGAACATATCCTTCAGTGTGCTCATAAACTATTACGTTGGGAGCTAGAAACTTTCTCCCAGATTCCACCTCCCCACAAATCCATGTAATCCCTCACCGTTCAGAAAATATCCCATTTCGTCTGTCTCTAAGAGGACCATCCCACTACAGCATTCTGATCCCACCTCGGCAAATAAGAACTTAGTCTTCACCGACCAATTTGATTCTGGGATAAGATGTTTTCACTGGTTCTCGAAACAAGACTTCAGAGTATGAAGATGCCTCGGACCCCTTGTAATATACTCTTTGGGTGCCAAACCACACACCTCTGGTCAGTGCGGTTTATACTGTACCATGGAGTCGCTCAAGCGTTCTTTTCATTCGTCTCTTGGAATAATATAACACATCAGTGTTCGTCTGTTCCGTCGAGGGTTTCAAGCACACCACACATCCTCGCCCACTCTTCCCCTGTTTATTCCCTTCGCCCTCGCCGCCAAACCCTCGCAGCTGTGTGCTCTCTCCTCGCTTCGAATTGCTCGAATCTGCGCTAACATGAGGGCTCTGTGCCGCATGCAAGCAACGTGAGAGCGAGGAGCCGCTGCGCTAACATACACGCCGTGACATCTCTGTGCCGCATGCAAGCAACGTGAGAGCGAGGAGCCGCTGCGCTAACATACACGCCGTGACACCTCTGTGCCGCATGCAAGCAACGTGAGAGCGAGGAACCGCTGCGCTAACATACACGCCGTGACATCTCTGTGCCGCATGCAAGCAACGTGAGAGCGAGGAGCCGCTGCGCTAACATACACGCCGTGACATCTCTGTGCCGCATGCAAGCAACGTGAGAGCGAGGAGCCGCTGCGCTAACATACACGCCGTGACATCTCTGTGCCGCATGCAAGCAACGTGAGAGCGAGGAGCCGCTGCGCTAACATACACGCCGTGACATCTCTGTGCCGCATGCAAGCAACGTGAGAGCGAGGAGCCGCTGCGCTAACATACACGCCGTGACATCTCTGTGCCGCATGCAAGCAACGTGAGAGCGAGGAGCCGCTGCGCTAACATACACGCCGTGACATCTCTGTGCCGCATGCAAGCAACGTGAGAGCGAGGAGCCGCTGCGCTAACATACACGCCGTGACATCTCTGTGCCGCATGCAAGCAACGTGAGAGCGAGGAGCCGCTGCGCTAACATACACGCCGTGACATCTCTGTGCCGCATGCAAGCAACGTGAGAGCGAGGAGCCGCTGCGCTAACATACACGCCGTGACATCTCTGTGCCGCATGCAAGCAACGTGAGAGCGAGGAGCCGCTGCGCTAACATACACGCCGTGACACCTCTGTGCCGCATGCAAGCAACGTGAGAGCAAGGAGCCGCGGATGGTAGGTAATCCTGTGGTTTTCTCTTATTTTGGTTCCGAGAAGAGCAAGGAGCCGCGGATGGTAGGTAATCCTGTGGTTCTCTTATTTTGGTTCCGAGAATGTTACGATGGCTTTCTGTGTTACGAGTATAGTGCTCGAGGTGATACTCGGAAGCCAGACAATAGGCTTGACCCTAAGCTCATGCTTGCTGTATCCTATGCAAACGCGTGAACAATCAAAAGGTTTTGGGTTTTTATGAGGATTGCACTTTGTAAATACTATAACGTATGATGTTAATCTAGGTGAAGTCCGAATATTTTGCTAGGGACTTGGGTTGTATGGAATTCTTGTGTTGATTTGTTTGTTTGTTATTTTTGAAATTCGGGCTGCAGGGATGAGGATTGGCAAGAAACTAACGGCGCATTAAACACCATATCACAATTGTATCCTCGCTTGCCTTGTGTGCATTCAAATTGAGAGATAGGAGCTGATTTGAATGATTTAAAGGACATAAGTGTATTTCAACCTGGAATTTGGTAACATCTTCAAACTTGTTCGTCTAAGAAGATTCTTAGTCCATTTTGAGGATTAAGCTTTTTCTCTCACAATTGCAATCTCTGTGTGTCATATATCTTGAAAGACTCAATGTTTTCAACAAAAGGTTTGACTTGGAGCTCTTCCATTGCTAAGTAATACTCAACTTTAGAGGCTGATCTCATCTACTTTATCATCAATCGTGGAAGTGTTGGTGTTCATTTTGATGTACTAAATGACAACATATTTCCAAGGTGCACAAAGAAAATTAAACCCCCAATAAAGTCTTCTTGAATTACATTTATGTTTCAATTTATATATCTAGACATGTGCAATGGAAGGTAGTAAACTTAAATGTAGTATGCATTGAAAATGTTACTTGTGTAGATATGTCATGCTATTCATATATTGATTCATACATTTGTGATTTTGCATAATAGAAGAGTCATCATTTCTTTCTTTTTAATAGAAATTTAATTTGCTTCAAGCTTGTAGCCATTTGTTGTAGAGAGTGAGCTTTTTCTAGATTGATTACTTTAGTTGTGAAATTGATACAAAGAGTGATTAAGGACACACAAAGAATTAGAGAAAGAAGAGGAGATGGCAATTTGAATAAAGTAGTTTCATGGTATAACACATTTTATAAAATAAAAAACAATTATTGTGACAAGATAATTATTGAAAAATAGGTGGGGATAAAAATTCTAGTTTGTTGTTTATCTAAGATATGAATCGATTTTGTTTGTATGAAACATGTTGAAAGATTGACATATAAATTAGTTTTGTTAATGTTTATATTGTCTTTGGAAGGTTTAGTGGCAATCAAACAACATTTCAAGAATCTATGGTTACTTGAGTAAGCAAAGGAGTATAGTCAAGAATCAAATGCTATTTATTTTTTAAGGTATGAACATCAATCATAATGATTTTACATAGATGATAGAGACATTTGAAATGAATGTTTATGTATTATTGTACTTGTATGTGTAAATACTTATTGTATATAAAATAATGAGAGATGATAAAAAGTTATTAAAAGAATCACAAATGTAAGTGGGGATTTATTTTGTCCATATGAAATATATTAGTAATAATTTTGTTATGTTGAAGACTTTTTTTGGTGTTTGAAAGTTATTGAAATGTTGCATAATGTGTAGGTAGGTTTTATTCATATAATTGAAGTCATATTACACATATTATTCAAATATTTACCATGGCTTATCTTGTGAAGTTTTTCACAAAGTATGCTTTAGTAACATGGAGGTTTTTATTTTCTTATTATACATTGGGATTTGCAATTGTTATGAAATTTTGTAACAATTTTGTGGAGAGTATTGGAGTTGTATTCAAAGCAAAAGTTGATATAGGAGATGTGCTTATTCAATGCTATAATTACAATCAAGAAATTGAGGTATTATTAAAGACTAAAGTCTTTTTGAATAGAAATCAATGTGTAAATATTTGCAAACCACTTGGCCATGTTATCAAAGTATTTGAAGGCTTGAGAGCTTGTAGCAAAGAAAGAAGCAAGTATTAATTTTTATTCTATGAATTTCAATACACAATATTGAGGATATATATGTTGATAAAAGATTGTGCACAACAATAGTGGTGTAAAGCAAGTATCTCTCAAATGGAGAATAAAGAAATGTTTAGAGAGTTATTGTGGGACTTGAAGACTTGTTATGATGTAGGAATTGATTTACTTTCAAGGAGTGTCCAAAAATGTTAGAGGACATAATACCAATATTATTTGATATTTCTACTTATAAAGAAGTTAAAGATGATGGTGAAGAACTTTACAAAAGATTGGATTACACAAGTAAAGATATGCAATTTAAAGATCATGAATTGGCAACCTATCTATTGATAAGATTGAAGGACTTATGGCACATAGAAGGTGGAGGGTTGGATTCTTTAGAAGTATTAAGTGATATCAAAAGTTTAGAATTTGTGAAAAAAATAAATGAACGTTCTTATGGAGAACTCTATGAATCAAAGTGGTTTGGACTTCCAAGTGCAACAAAAATAATGGATGTTGAGTTTAATGCAATGTTCATGAAAGAAGTGGGTGTTTTAGCTAGTACAAGCCATCCAAACTTGATCAAATATTATTGTGCTGCTAAAAGTAGTACAAATGAAAATGGAGAGGCTTCAATAATGAATAACTCAAGTGGAAAATTATATTTGGTGATGGAGTTGATGCGAAGAAATTTGAGCAACATATTGGAGGCAAATAGATCAATGCTATATTACTTTCTTATTGATGTTATTTATCAAATTGCAAGAGGGATGTGTTATTTGCATGACATGCAAATTGCACATCGAGGCTTAAAGCCGGAAAATGTGTTACTCAATATTATAGATGATGGTAGATCCAATAATGATTTTCAATATGCTATTGTAAAGTTGATTGATTTTGGTTGTTCAAAGATCAATGTAGGAAGGAATCCTAAAGTTAACAAAAATAAATACATGTATGGAACTCCAATATACACAGCTCCAATTATTAAAAAGTACAATAGAATCAATTAAGACATGTGCTTTTGAAGCAGATGTGTATTCTTTTGCAATGACATGTTCTAAGATTCTTTCAAGAAATGATCCATTTAAAGGTGTGAACAAAATAGAAGATATATTAAAAAGAATTGAAAAAGGTGAAAGACCAAAGTTACCTTCAAATTGTAATGATCTTAGTAAATTGATCCAAGAATGTTGGACTTTGGATCCTTCACAAAGACCAAGTTTTGCAGATATTTGTAAGAGACTCACAACATTAAAGAAAAAAAATACTTGGTGGGAATTGATGTAGCCAAAACACCTTATTTTGGAGCATTTAAGAAAGAAGAATCTGAAAGGAGTAAATCAAAAGATGTGCATGTTGATGATATATTAGTAAATTTTATATTAGATTTTTTTTTGATTTATACATTGAATCAATTTGTTTGATTTTTAGATCTACATACTTAAACATATATTTATTTATAATATTTTATTAAAACATGAATATGTGGTTGGATTGTTTTGATAGTAATTGTGATACAAATTATATTTGCTTTTAATTTCATGATTTGATTATTTGAACAGGGTCATGATTATGAAGAGAAGTTAATGGGTGTAGAACAATATTTGTCACACATCAAACAACTATGTGAAGAAAGATCAAATGCATTATGTTTTGTTGGTATGGGTGGAATTGGAAAGACTACATTAGCAAAGGCTACATTTGATAACATGCAACATATGTAAAATGTATCATGCTTTGTTGAAAGTATTCAAGATAAAGATGATGGTTTTTCAATAATTTACAAAGTTTTAAACCAATTATATTTTCAATCAAAACCAAGGAATTTAGAAGAGGCATAAGTTATGATAAAAGAATTATTGGTGAGCAAAAAATTCATGTTAATCTTAGATGATGTGAAGAATGAAAGTCATATCAATGATGTAGTACCTACAAATATTCTAAATTCCAACAAAAGTAGCTTATTAATTGTGACAATACGAAATTGGAAGTTAGTAAAAGACTATCCTACAAAATTTTATAAATTTGATGTTGAAGAACTTGACAAAGATGCAAGTTTGAAGTTGTTTACAACTTATTCTTGTAAGGATGATGATAAATTACCTAAAGAACTTATTGAGGTTGGCAAACAAATTGTAAGATCTTGTAATGGACTACTCTTGAGTTTGAAAGTAATGGACTCATTTTTAGGAGGAGAAAAGAAGTTGAGATGTTGGGAAAGAGCTTTACAAAATTTAAAGGGAGGAAGAGATTTGGATGGAGATGAAGAAGATAGTAATCATAAACTATGGCTTATTTTAAAGATAAGTTTTGACACCTTAAAAGATGAAGAAAAAAATATGTTTTTGGACATATGTTGTTTTTTTTGTAATAATGTGAATTGGAGTGGTACAATAAAAGAAACTATATTACAAATATGGACCCATAAAAAAAGTGGAGTTGACAAGCAAGATGCAAGTATTGTTTTAAATACATTGGTCTATCAATCAATGATAAAAATAGAAAAGAATAGAATAATAAAAGTATATTATCAATTACAAGACATGGGTCGAAGGATTGTTGAAAAAGAAAAAGAATTCAAAGACACGCGAATTTGGAATGTGAATATGGTGCTAATGTCCGGATTAACAACAAAGATAATTCTTTCAAATAGTAATAGAATAATTTAAATAAAATTATTGATATAGAATTAATAAAAAAAATATAGATAGTAAAATATAAGAAATTTTAATATCTTCCAAAAATAATTTTATATTATCTATGTTGCATTGTAAAATACTTAAAGATTTAAATATATTTTATGTATTTGATAAAGCAATGGATTGTAATTTCTAACCATTCTTTTATTATGTTGTTTATTAGTTAGAAGGTATAATACTTGGTCATGATATGAAGAATATTTTGAAAAGATTCATCATCAAAGAATTATACTTTTGTTCTCTACGAATACTTATATGTAATACTAATGGAAAGTTAAATCAAGATATCTTTGAAATATTTTTGTTTTTGGTAAAAAATGCTAACAAATTAAAAATTTTGTTATTACAAAGTAACCTACCTTACTTTTTTTATTCTTCCAAGAAAATAAAGTTACCCTCTGTAATGTGCAATGAAGATTTTTGAAAAGTATATGAACACTTAACAATATTAATTTTAAGAAAATTTATATTTGGTGAAATAATATCAACAACACTATTTACAAATAATACATTATTAAGACTTGAATTAAATAGGACTACTGAATTCAAAGTATTACCAAAAGCTATCAAATACCTAAAATCTTTAATAAACTTTAGCTTACAAAATAACATAAATTTAAAAATAATGTTTTATGAATTCACAAACTTATATTTTTTGTTGACACTTGATTTGAGTGATTGCTCAAGCTTGAAAACATTGCCAAATAAACTTATGAATCTTTCTTCTTTGAAAAAAATTAATTTGAAGAGCTGTTCAAGCTTAACAAGCTTGCCAAATGAATTAGCAAATCATTCTTCCTTGACAAAACTTGATTTGACTGGTTGCTCAAGTTTGACAAGCTTGCCACATGAATTGGCAAATCTTTCTTCTTTGACAACACTTTATTTAAGTGGTTGCTCAAGCTTGAGAAGCTTGCCACATGAATTGACAAATCTTTCTTCTTTAACAACACTTTCTTTGAAAGGTTGCTCAAGCTTGACAAGCTTGCCATATGAATTGGCAAATCTTTCTTCTTTGACAAGACTTAATTTAAGTGGTTGCTCAAGCTTGACAAGCCTACCACATGAATTGACAAATCTTTCTTCCTTGATACACTTTTATTAAAAGGTTGTATAAGATTGACAAGCTTGCCAGATGAATTGATAAATCTTTCTTCTTTGACAAAACTTTATTTGATTGATTGCTCAAGCTTGACAAGCTTGCCACATGAATTGACAAATCTTTCTTCCTTGATAGAACTTGATTTGATTGGTTACTCAAGCTTGACAAGCTTTCTACATGATTTGACAAATCTTTCTTCTTTGATAAAACTTTATTTGATTGATTGCTCAAGCTTGACAAGCTTGCTACATGAATTGACAAATCTTTCTTTCTTGACACACTTTCTTTGAAAAGTTACGTAAGCTTGATAAACTTGCCATATAATTTGATAAATCTTTTTTTTCTTGATAGAACTTGATTTGAATGGTTGCTCAAGCTTGATAAGCTTTCTACATGATTTGGCAAATCTTTCTTCTTTGACAAAAATTTATTTCATTAATTGCTCTAGCGTGATAAGCTAGCTATATGAATTGACAAATCTTTCTTCTTTGATAATATTTTCTTTGAAAGGTTGTACAAGCTTGATAAGCTTGCAACATGAATTGACAAATCTTTCTTCCTTGACAAAACTTGATTTGAATGTTCCTCAAGCTTGACAAGCTTGCTACATATACTAGTAAATCTTTCTTCTATGATAGATCTTGATTTGACTAGTTACTCAAGCTTGACAAGTTTACCATGTGAATTAGCAAATCTTTCTTCTTTGATAAAACTTAATTTGAATGGTTGCTTAAGCTTGACAAGCTTACCAAATGAATTAGCAAATCTTCTTTCTTTGACAGAACTTGATTTGAGTGGTTGCTCAAGCTTGGGTAGCTTGCCACATGAATTGGCAAATCTTTCTTCCTTGATAGAACTTGATTTGATTGGTTGCTCAAGCTTGTCGAGCTTACTACATGAATTAGAAAATCTTTTTTCCTTGAGAACACTTGGTTTGAGTGGTTACTCAAGCTTGACGAGCTTGTCCTATGAATTGGCAAATCTTTCCTCTTTGACATTATTTTATTTTTAATTGTTGGTGAAGCTTGACAAGCTTGCTAAATGAATTTACAAATCTTTCTTTTTTGACAATACTTGATTTGAGTGGTTGCTTAAGCTCGACAAGCTTGCGAAATGAATTAACAAATCTTTCTTCCTTGAGAATCCTCGATTTGAGTGGTTGCTCAAGCTTGACAAGCTTGCTACATGAATTGGCAAATCTTTCTCCTTTTACAAAACTTGATTTGAGTAGTTGCTTAAGTTTAATAAGCTTGCTACATGATTTGGCAAATCTTTCTTCTTTGACAACATTTGATTTAGAAGATTACTTTTCAATTAAGAAGAATTCTTTTGTTGGTAGAAGTAAATTATACTATTTTTAGTAGAAAGAATAAAGAATACCTATGCAATTATAAAGCAAGAATGTGGAAGAAGAAATTTGATTTAAAGTTTAAAAAGGTCCATCTTATGGAATTAGACTATCCAACAGAGCTATTTTAGAAGCAATGTAAGCAAAGATTGTCACTAAGCTCTTAAGCATGGAGGTGATAGGACTTGTCAACAATCACTAGTTTATTTGTAGTGTATCAGTATTGTATCAATATTATATCAATATTAAATTAATATTATATTAATATCATAGCTTATATTATATTTGGATTATTTTTAGTCATATACAAATCATATCCATATTGTATCTAGATCATATAATACTAGAATTTTGAATATTTTAGATTCCTTTTAGATACTCTTAAGATATTATAAATGATGATTAATTGATATTCCTAAGATACCTTTTATATTGAAGATTTCTACTAGATTTTTTACACTAAATTGTATTCTCCCTACTAACATTATTTTGGCTTCTTCTAACTCCTTTAACCTAATCTTCACCTAATAATTGCATTGTTGGCACTCTAAATACATTCTTTTGTTCCAAAACAACTAGTGAGTTAATTTGGTGATTCACAAATAGTGACCATTTGGAATAACTTGCAAAAGAAAAGAACTTGGAATTATCTTCTATAATTTTATTAAAGAGGAATTTTTGTAGAATTTTAACAATAGTTCAGTAAAAGAATGAGTGAATTCCTATTAAGTTGAATAAAATAAGGTTGGTTTTGTTCAATAGAATTATACAAAGAAAAAAAAGAAAAATAAAAAAAATCTAATTTTATATTTGATAAATTCAAAATAAGCTAAAAATTAAAAAGTAGTACCTCTAAACTCTTTCTCTATAAAAGACGATTTTAGTATTAAGCTTTTCAAGGCCTACATATTTGTTGGATGTGCAATGTTGGTCTTTCATGTACTAACACTAACTCATTGGAATAACTTATTTTTTCCAACTAGATTTGAATTTGGGAAATTCAATTAACAACCTCTCACTTGACTAACACTTCTACAACCCTTGGATGTTTAAACATGACTTATACTCACAAATCCTAATATATATATATATTTTATTTATTTTATAGTCAAAAATTATAAAAATTTAATTAAAGTATCATCTCTACTCATTTGCGATTTCTTTGGTTGCATGGTGAAGGAAACAAAATTTGAAAAAAAAAAAGACTACTAAATAATTCTATTACTTTTTTTGAATTCTAATGTTTAACTTCTTAAAGTCAACCAAATTATGATAATTTTTTTATTTAAAGCCTTGGATAAAGGTGAATATAAAGATAAAATATTTATCTTTATATTCGATAAAAATCACACTTTATATTCGTTACATCTACTTCTAAAAGTTCTAATAGAGAAAACTTCTCTGTTGACTATTTGTAACTATATTAAATTATTTAGATTTTTTTTTTTTTTTTTTTTTTTTATCAAATAAGGGTTGAATCATATGACATCAAATTTTCTAGAGAAATCTAATCTCCTAGTATCTTGTAAAAAGACCAACATGCTAAGCCTAAAATTTTTAATTTTATGTTGTTTGTTAAAGGTTATTTTCTTTCTTCTTTATATAGCATCTATATATTGGATACTCCTTCTCTTTATCTTATTTAGATCTTCTAAATATTCCAATTTATCCATTATAGATTTTTTAGTTAAAAATCTTTCTATCGAGGCAGTTTGAAGAGAAGAGATTTTGAATTCAATTGATAAAATGGCTTCTATGCCATAAACCAAGAAAAATGAGATGGCTTGAATGGTCACCTTAAATGTGTTTCTATAAGTCCATAAGGTTGTAGGAAGTTTTATATTCAAATTCTTTTTAGAAGTTGTGATGGTTTTTCTAAGGATATTCATTAAAGTTTGATTTATCTTTTTTGTGTATTTATAAGTTTGAGGGTAATATGGGATAGTTTTCTTATAGTCAATCTTAAACCTTGAAATTAAGTCTTCTATCACTTTATTCAAAAAATCCTTCTTTATATTACTAATCAAGATTTTTAGATATCTAAATCTAATGATAATTTGTTTGTATAGGAACTTTGTTGCTTACTTTGCATTGTTGGCTTTAATTATTTTTGCTTCAATTCACCAGTCTAGTATTTGATTGATACTAATATGTGTTTTATTCCATTAGTGGAATTGAAGCAAATCTCTCTAACATATTTGATGCCCCATTTTTAAAATAAAACTAAAGATAAGGATATATAGAGGGGTAAATTCATTTGAAGGTTATTTCTAGAATATTGTTAACATGTATCACATGTCCTAGTATATCTATGGACCTCTTAGAATAAAAAGGGTCAATAATAACTAACTCTAAAGATCTTTTGTCTAATCAAAATATCCAAAAAATTACTCTTACATGTATTATTATGATATATTGATAAAATCATAGGAATTTCTTATTCCATCACACATCTTTGTAACATCCCATCTACTCCACGTCTATATAATTTACCACCAACTATGGCCAAATGACTAAAATTGTTTTGGATCTTTTGACATTATTTTTTAGATAATTGAGAAGGCATGGTTTGGATTATTAAAAAATTGGTAATTAATTCATACTTAGTAGAAGCAGTTGAAATAATATATAGACTCTTATTTATTAAAGTGTCATTGATTGGACTTTACTAATTTTTTTTGACAACTTGGATAAGTAATTGGCTTGCATATGCATCCTTCTTGGCTTGTATTCTATTATATAATCAATTTTTTATAGTAGAAGCATCCATCTTGCTAATCTATCATTCAAATCTACTTTGTTAATAAGGTACTTGATTGCTATGTGGTCTACAAAAAACACTACTGGCTTCAAGAGGAAGTAGTATCTAAATTTCTTAATAAAAAAAACTATGGCAAAATATTCTTGTTTTGTGGTAGTGTAATTTCTTTTTGCTAGATTTAATTGTCTTCTAGCAAAGGCTATGGAATAGTCTTTGTCTTTTTTCTCTACTTACTTAATATAAGGTACTTCCTATTGGAACTAATAAAGAATTACAAAGCACATGGAAAGGTAATAACCAATTTGGTGGCCTTAAAACAAAGCAAAAGCTAAACTTTGCCTTAAGAATATCAAATGCCTCTTGGCATTTTTAACTCCACTCAAACTTCATATTTTTTTGTTGAAGTCTAGTAATTGATGTGAAAGTGGTGGCATATTTATGTATTTTTTTCTAATACCATCTTATGTGCTTCAAGGTCCTTTGTATTTCTTTGATTATTAAAAGAATATTTAATTCCATGATTATCTTAACCTTCTCAAGGTTTGGTTCTCTATAATTTCTTGATAGTACATATTTTAATATAACTTTTTATTTAATTACTAAGAATATCTTATTGAGATTTAAAGCAATCTTAGCTTTTGTATATCTTTGAAGACTAAGCCTTATACAATTGTAATGTGTTCTTTTAGAAGATCGGGTGCTATACTCATTAATGAATACTTTCATTAATTTATGTAGTAAATTCAAGAAGACATATAATATAGCCTTTTGAAATGCTGTAGGAGCATTACAAAGTCCAAAAGACATGAAAACATAGATGAATATGCTCCAAAGTATAATAAATGTTATTTTATGGTGATTCTCCAGAGCTATGGAAATTTGATTGTAGCTTGAATATCCATTGATAAATGTATATAATTTGTGCCTAGCCACCTCTTCTAAAATGGTATTTATAAATAAAAGAAAAAATAATCTTTTTAGGTATACTTATTAAACTTTCTATAAGCTATGCATACTCAAAGTTTTTTATTTTTTTGCTTAAGAAAGACCATTGGTGAAATTCAATTTGTAATTTCTATAGGTTGAATAAATCCACCTTAAAAAAAAATTCTAGTTCAACTTTTACAATTAATTATAAATTGAGATTCATTCATTTATTCTCTTGTCTAATAGGACTTGAATTAACAAGAAAGAAAATACAATTTTGAGCTAATTTGGAAGATATATCCTTGAGATTGTTGTAAGACCAAACAAACATATCTTAATATTTTATTATCAACAATTTATAACTTGATAATTCATCTTCTGAAAATTGAACTGCCATCTTAATGAGTTTTGGATCCTTATTCTTTAAAGATACATCTATCAATTTATAATCCAAATTGTACACATGAGGTTATTTTCTAGATCCATTATATCAATCATTTGATACTTGTGGATAGATGGCTATATCATTTTCAACTATAAGATTACAAAAATTTTGTTTGAATTATAATGATAAATTAAAGTCACCTTATTTTATTATGTCTTCTAACTTATGAACTTGAGTGCCATTAAAATTTATCCCAAAAACATCTTTATAATAAATATTATCTATTAAGGTTGTTAACTCCACTTCTAGTTCATTATGTTGTCAAATGATTGGTATAAAGAATCCATAGAGTAACTTCATGTACACGATCTTGATTACAAATTGATGGATGTGACTTTGAAAAATGAGAATTCAATATTCACTAAGGTAGAATACCAATTAATAGAGATTATACAACAACAACAAAAAATTGCTTTTGTCAAACAATACAAGATTAGAACCTTAAGGCCTAGCATGTTGGCCCTCTTATAAGATGTTAGGATATTAATTTTTTTTGAAAAATTTGATGTTGTATGATTAGGTCTTTATTTGGTAAAAAAAGTCTTGCCAAATAATTCAATATGGTTACAAATACTCAACAAAGAAGATTTTCCTATTAGAACTTTTGACAATCAATGTAAGGAATATCAAGTATGATCTTTATTACACACATGGTCAAACATCTCATCCTTCTATTTATCTTTATGCAACTTCTTAAATAAAAAATTATTAAAATTGGATAAAATTTTAAAAACTAAAATAATAAGATTTAAGACAAGGAATAATTATATTCATTCATCTTATCTACTTTTTGATTTAATTCTTTTACTAAACAATCATAGATATTTTAAATGAAAAAAAAGAATACTTGATTAGACTCTCATGATTTTGAGTCAAAAATAAATAAATAAATAAATAAATAAAATCATATGATAAGAATTGATTGTTAAGTCTTGTTTAATCATCTAAGGATTGTAGAAGTGTTGGTCAAAGGAGAGAGTGTTAATTGAGTGTTTTGAGTTTGAATCTAGTTAAAAAAATGAGTTATTTTAATGAACTAGTATTAGTGCAAGAAAGACCAATATTGTACATTCAATAGATATGTACGCCTTAAAAGACTTAATACTAAAATCCTCTCATATTGAGGAGGAGTCTAAAAATACTACCTTTTTAATCCCTAGCCTTGGTTCTTTTTTTCTAAAATCTTTAGTTTTAAAGGTTAGGTTTAATTTTTTTCTATCTTCTTTGTTTTGATGTGTAGAATAAAAACTATTTTAATTTATTTAGATTAATAGTAATTCATTCATTTTTGTCTTGGATAATTG